CCTCGGTTCAAGACACTTATTTGCTTCGTGACCTTGTGCTCTGAGCCTCATTCCTTATGCGTTAAAAGAGATAATAATATGATAATAATAAAAACTACTTCCTAGGGTTTCCCTGGTGGCGCAGTGGTTAAGAATCTGCCTGCCAGTGCAGGGGACAAGGGTTCGAGCCCTGGACCGGGAAGATCCCACATGCCGCGAAGCCACTAAGCCCGTGCGCCACAACTACTGAACCTGCGCTCTAGAGCCCGCGAGCCACAAGTACTGAAGCCCGCGCACCTATGCTCCGCAACAAGAGAAGCCTCCGCAATGAGAAGCCCGCGCGCAGCAACAAAGACCCAACGCAGCCAAAAATAAATAATGGATGGAAAGAAAAATAAGTCAGAAACTTATGAGTGAAACACTCTCCCATCCAAAAGAGGGTTCAGAGCTTGGGTAGGGATGGGTGAATGGGTGTCCCACATATTAATTTCTCTTCTCAGGACTTCTCTTCTGATCTATCTCTGGTTTTTCTCATAAGGATGGGAAATCACTTGTCCCCTCCCTCATCTGTCTATTCCTTGGAATTGGGGGATTTGTGTGAATATGAGCTGGCCAGCCCCCTCTCCTTAGAAATCCCCTCTTGGTTTCCAGGATCCAGAGGAAGGGAAAGATGAAGGGAGTTATGCCAGGCCAGGCTCCCTCCAGCTGTTCTGTTGAACTAGGTGTTGGGCATATGAAAATGGTAACTCGAGAAAGGGACAGTGCTGCTGAGTCAGGAGGTTGAATCCCAGAGGCTTGAGATGTGGGAAGAGGTGGTGGGCCTCCTTCCAAGGAACATTCCTTCTCAACTCTGCTTGTCTCAAGGGAGAAACTGGTTCCCAGACCATGGGTGGGCAGGCACTGTAATGACCTGGGGAGGCTACCCCAGGCTCCACGGTTGTTCTGAGGGCACCAGGGAGTCTTCTTCATCACCACCAGCACCAGAGAGAAGAACCACAGAGAAGAGAGTGAGGATAAGGGATAAACCTAGGGAAGGACACGCAGCTCCTCACTCGGGCCCCTCCATCCCAACCATCACCTCTAGAGGCCAGCCCTGTGGCTGATGACACAAATGCCACCAGGGAGGTGATAGTGCAGACTCTCTATCTGGAGCTGACAGCACAAGGTCCCCTTCTCTTGGCCAGACTGCGGGCTGCTTAGGTTCTTAGAGCTGAAGCCAAGGAAAGCAGAAGAGAAGAAAAGAGGGAGGGCAGGGTCAGTTTCCTTCAGAAAGAGGGGGGCAGAGGGGAATCCACAGAACGGACTTGGAGGGGAATTTCTGAGCAGAGAAAGTGAAAGTTCCGGGCCATAAATGGGTGGAAGTGGCAGCTTCCTCCAGCTTCGTCCACTCTCACATTCCCAGACCCCTTCACACCCCGCACTTCTCGGCACTCTCACCACTCCCAGCCAGGCCTCGGCTTCACACAGACTCTGCCCAGATTCACTCACGCTCACAGCTTGCTGGCAGTCAGTCTCCGCTCATCCTCCATGGCATCCCATGCAGCTGCACTACTAGCCCTCAGCCTGCTGATTCTCTGGACCTCCCCTGGTAAGGCTGAGGGGAGCCTCAGGGTGGGGGGCAAGTAGCAGGGGTGTCTAGGGCTCAGACTGCTTGGCGCTGGACGTGAGGGACTCTGTGAATTAGGATTGCATGTTTCAGTGTACCTGGGTTGTGCCCCATGTGTGTGCCTGTGAGTGGTGGTGTACCTGGGCTCCTGAATTCCAATGTGTATCTGTCTCTTGGTGTATCCAGGGCCTATGACTACCCGCCTCTCTTCAGGGACTATTTCCTGCTGCCTCAGTTTCCCAGGCGGGAGAGAACAGTATATACTTTCTTAAGGTGGAGGGAATGGGAGACACTGATCTAAGAAGGGTCAAAAAATTTAACAGTGGTCAAAAAATTTAGCAACTCCTAAGTTCTGCTAATGTCACCCTCCTGTTACCCACCCCACCCCCTTCCCTACCCCACATCCTTCCCCCCACTGACTCTGTAACCAGCGTGAACCCTTCATTTGTGGGGAAGTTGAAAAGACTTGGGAGAGAAGTTGGGGTGATCAGGGCAGCAGGAGGGCATTTGTGGGGCTCAGGACAGCGGTCATTTGCCGAACTGCTCAGAAGTGCTTCAATATATTTAGCGAATATCAATCAGGTCCAGCTGCCGCCACACACAGACTGGCATCCTTACTGCCAGTGAGGGCTGTGGCCTCTGTTCCTCAGTGTCCCTGTGCCCTGACACTAATCCTACCCCAGCTCTGGGAGATGCCAACGACGCTGAAGACTGCTGCCTGTCTGTGGCCCAGCGCCCCATTCCTGGATTCCTGGTGCGAGCCTATCGCTACCTGCTCATCAACAATGGCTGCAGGGTGTCTGCCGTTGTGTGAGTTGCGGGACAAGCCTGACTAACCTCACCTCCCCCATCAGCCCCTGGGGAAACCCACCCCCACCTTCTTATCTCTAAGCCCCTGAAACAGGTTCCCGGGTGTGGTCCCCAGCCGCTGCCCCTCACACCAGGGTCTGCCAGGAAGCTGGGTTCCAGGGCTCTATTTCCTCTGACCTCTGACCTCTGTCTCCAGGTTCACCACGCTGAGAGGTCACCAGCTCTGTGCACCCCCAGACCAGCCCTGGGTGGGCCGCATCATCCGCAGACTGCAGAAGAACTCAGCCAAGGCAAGCCTGGCCCTCCCCAGCCCTGCCTCCTCCCTCCAAGCCCCTGCCCAAGACCCCAGCCCATGACCTTGCCTCTCCTTCCTCCCCCAGGGAAAGCGCTACAGCAGGTAGCCCATGATAGCCCCAGAGGGAGCCCTGTGTCTGAGGGAAAGAATGTGAATCACTGAAGCCCTGGGGAACCAAGGACCAGAAGGGAGGACCAGGTCTCCTGCTCCCCTGCACCAGACCTGACCCAGCTGGGGTGGGGCAGGAGTGTGAGTGTGAGTGTGAGTGTGGATGAGTGTGGTGGAAGCACAACTTCTCCATGCCCAGACTGCAGCGTTTCCAATAAAACCCAGCTGGTACCCATGAATCCGTCTGTCTGCTGTCTGTTTGCTGTCTGTCCAGGAGGACTGTGATAGGAAGGGGGAGGTGGAATGGCCGGGTTAGTTTCCACCCTGCAGCCCAAGCAACGTCCTCATCGACCTCCACCTAATATGCTGTGTTCTCAGGATCAGCTCCCATGATCAGGGCCCCACCTCACGTCTCCTCACAGCCCTATCACACTCCACAGCTCAGCAACACTAAACCTGTGCCCATCCCCTGAATGACCCAAACTCTCTCAGGCCTCTGAGTTTTTGCCCTCCAGGACAGGTGCTCAAGCATCCAGGTGTCTCAGGGATCTGGTGTCACTGGGGGCGGGGAAGGGAGTTGTTGGGAACCAGCTCTCATGGCTGGGTGAGGGCCAGGAGGCCCAACTCTGTTGCCTGGGGAGAAAAAACCCATCCACCCAAGCCATTCCCTCTGTCTGGAACACTCTTCTCTCTCTTCTGCCTGCCTGGCTTCCTATCTGGGTCTGGATGACTCCTCCTCCAGGAAGCCTTCCCTGACTCCATGCTGGGTTAGGCAGCCTCCCTCCCTCCCAAGCCCCCAGGGCCCTCTGCTCCTCTCCTCTTGCAGCAATCAAGGAGCTGAGTTATAATTGCTAGTTTGTCAGCCTTGCTGAACAGGGATCTTGTCTATTTTGGTTTCCACTGTCTCCCTGGTATGAAGTACACGGCTTGGCACAAGATAGTCACTCAATAAATATTTGTCTTGAGAGCAGATAAATATGTAAGAAAAGGGTCAGCAGCCAGAGGTGAGGGCCCACCTGTCCATATAGAATCTGACCTCCAGTCCAGCCCTCTTCTGGGCCAGGTCCAGCCCCGTCTGGGTCCACGTGGCAATCCTGGGGCCATGCTTCCCAGGGATACTGACAGACAGACCTGGGAGCCAGAGGTCAGAGTGGGAGAGGAAGGAAAAAGGAACAGCCAGAGAGCTGGGGAGATTCAGCATGGGGGGACCCCCACCACCTCGTAGCCACATGGGCTCCAGGGCCAAGGCAACACTGAGACCAGAGGAGTCACAGGGAAGGAGTCTCAGCTCTGGGAGACAAAAGCCCTCGACTCTTGGGACATCTCACAAGACTGCTCTGGGAGGAATGAACTCCTCGTGCTCGGGATGTCCTCTGGGAAAGCTGGCTGGTTGCCCAACTATGGCCCCTAAGGGCCTGTCCAGCTGGGAGCAGCAAGTCTGTGCCCCTGGGGTTGGGATGACAGCTAGTACACCAGACTGAGCATCCTCTCCTGGGAACAGGGGCCACCACTACACCATATACCTTATCTGGTAACAAAAGCAGGCCTGGGCAGGCTTGGGCAAACTTGGAAGGGAAGCAGCAGTGAGGGGCTGTGCCAGCCCCTCCTCACTGAGCTGAGAGCATGGCAGCTTCTTCCTTACCTCTGCTCCTAGGACGAGGTGTCCAGAGCCTCAGATAAATCAGGTCTTGGAGTCACAGGAGTGGGTGGAATGGGGATAGTTTGCAAGAACAACTGGTATAGCCAGGAAATCTGGCTCCGCTACCTGGGGGAAATTACCCATCCATTCATGCATGCATGCAGCCATCCATCTAGCTGTCTCTGCATCCATTAGACCTCCACCCATCCATCCACCCACCCCCCCACCAACTCATCCATCCATTAAGTCAGCCAACCATGGAGTTCCAGAGGTCACAGCTGTGGACACTCTTTGGACCTGTGCCCTGAACCACAGCAGGCAGAGGACAGACACAGGTGTAAGGTGGGGTACATCCCCTCAAATCCTTCTGGGTCCCCAGTGAAACCAAGCAAAGTTCAGCCTGCCACAGAGGCAGACACAAACCCACACTATGGACACTTGCAGAAACACACAGATGGAGTACAGAAGGTGAGGGTGGGAGCCCTGAGGAGGTGCTAACAGGAGAGAGGCACCTGGACACCACCTCCCTGACACTGCCACAGGTGGTGGGGGGTGGGGGGGAGGGGATGCAGGAACAGGTCATGAGCTCAATGCCCGGTCCCCAATCCCCCAATCCTGTTTCTGCCCCTGACTGTGCAACTCTGGGGAAGTCCCTTTCTCACTGCCCCCTCCAAGACCTTACTTCCCCCCATCTGTCAGGTGGGGGATGGGAGGCTTCATTTTTAAGAGCCCCTCCAAACAAAGACTTAATTCCTAAATCTTTGGGTCTTAGGCTAACCCTCCCCAGCATTCACACAGTCTCCCCAAAGTCATGCACATTCAGAAAGGTCCCCACTCGGACTTCCCTGGTGGCACAGTCGTTAAGAATCCGCCTGCCAATGCAGGGGACACAGGTTTGAGCCCTGGTCCGGGAAGATCCCACATGCCACAGAGCAACTAAGCCTGTGTGCCACAACTACTGAGCCTGCGCTCTAGAGCCCGTGAGCCACAACTACTGAGTCCACATGCCACAACTACTGAAGCCTGCACACCTAGAGCCCTTGCTCCGCAACAAAGAAAAGCCACCTCAATGAGAAGCCCTCGCACTGCAACGAAGAGTAGCCCCCGCTCACCACAACTAGACAAAGCCCGCGCGCAGAAAAGAAGACCCAATGCAGCCAAAAATAAATGAATACATAAATAAATAAATACATTTATTTAAAAAATAGAAAGAAAGGAAAGTCTTCACTTCCCGGGGCCGCAGGGACCACCCTCTGGGAATAAAGGGGAAGCTGAGGTTCAGGAAGAAAGAAAATAATCCAGGTGCTGGTGAAGTGGCTGGAACAGCCCCCTGCTGGACCCTGGAGGCCTGGAGGGTGAAGAATTTCGAAGAAGCCTGAGCCCTCCCCACCTCTTCTCCAGCCAGAGCCTTTCCTCCCGGCTTTCTCCTTCCCTGTTTTTCCCACCCCCAGCCACCAACCCTCCCAGACACTAGGTCTTTTTCCCTTATCTCCCTGCCAGACACAGGAGGGCTTAGCCCAGCAACCTGTGACTTGTCCTGATCCACTTAAACATTCTCAGCACTCTGATTTCATCTAATCAACACCTGCCCTGTTTCACTATGATTCACTGACAAGTGTTGAGTCTTTATTCCAAGTTCTGACGGGCCTGCCTACCTGACAATGATGAAGCTGCCTGCTCTCTGAGGGGTGGGGTGGACTCCTAGCTCCCTAACCAGGATATGGGGGCCTTGCTGCCTGCCTCTAAGTAGACACCTTCCTCTCTCAGGCACACGGCACTTGCTACAGGTTTAAGGCGGGCAGCTGAGTGACACCTCCCTACCTGAAGTCCTGTGGTTCCAGCAGCCAACATCTCCCTAAAGGGAGCTGACATCCCTACTTAGGGAGCTTCCAGCCTTTTTGTCCACCTCTATGGCGGACAAAAATCTTCCTATCCATGGGGGGAATTCCCTGATGGTCCAGTGGTTAGGACTTGGTGCTTTCACTGCCGGGACCCCAATTCAATCCCTGGTTGGGGAACTGAGATCACACAAGCCTCTCAGCCCTCCCCAAAAAAATGCTCCCTGATAGAGTTCCCAGGGAACTGCCACTGCCAACATTGCTCTGCCCAGGGCCTGGCGCAGAACAAGGCCTAGTACGCATCTGAGTAACAGAAAATGGAATTGAACATGACCCTTTCTCACGATTACCCCACCACTGCTCACACCTGGAGCACATCCAGTTCTCGGGGTGGGGGCTGTCTCGGTTACATGGCTAAGTGTTTGGTCAGAGCCAGCTCCATACGGTTTTGATCAGATTTTCATCATCTCATGTTCAATTTCTCGGCAAGCCTCCACCACATACTCCCTTCTCTGGCCTCCGGGAAACTCAGAAACAGCCAGAAAACCTTGGGAATAAGAGTTTCACAAGGGAGCAGGACTCCCAAGTGGGGAGTTTCCTCCAAGAGGCCCTCTGTCAGAAGAAACAGGCACTTTTCTGGTCAGAGAACTTTCGTGATGGCCCCTGAGGCTTTGTCCACGTGGGAGGACTTGGCTCTGTAGTACTAGCTATATCACCACTAGTGCTTACTAGGTGCTTGGCACTGCTTTAAGTGCTATTATCATTCTTACGTTGCAGCTGAGGAAACTGAGGTGCAGAGGTTAAATAACTTACCCAGGCTGGATGGCCGGTAAAGTGGCAGAGCTGGGGATCCTGGCTGGGCAGACGGGCTCCAGAATCTGACTCAGCTACCACACATACCACCTCTCTAAGTTGATCCACCTCCTAAATAAAAATGGGAAATAGTACAGCAGGTGCAGGTCTGAGGAAGTGGCCCTCAGAGAACAGGGAAAACCGTTCCTTTGAGGTGCTGACCATGCGCCAGGCTCCAAGCTGAGTCCTTTATGTGCATTATCATTGCATCCTCAAACAACCCTATGAGGTGGGGATCACTAGTCCCATTCTATGTATGAGGAAATGGAGGCACAGAGAGGTAGAGTGATCTCCCAAGTCCACTCAACTGGTGAGTGGCAAAGCCGAGACGGCAGCCCGTCTGCCTGATGGGTAGCACTTAGGCTGAGGGCTGGGGGCTGGGATGTCCAGATGGGGTAGAAAGGCTTGGCTTCCTAGGAAGAGCTGGGAAAAAAACAAGAGAAGAAGCTGAAGGTCTCAGGCAGGACCCCAGCCCTTGAGCTCAGACACAGATATGCCCCTTGGAGGCCTCCTGGGCCGGCCTCTCCAGCAGAAGGGGAGCCTGCTTCCCCAGAGCCTCCAGGAGGAAGTGGGCACAGGTTCTCAAGGTCTCCTCAGGCCTCAGTTTTTCCAGGAGTGGAGCAGTGGAGAAGGGGCTCAGCCTACAACTATGCCCACCTTCTTACCTCC